TTTCTGTTCATGAAACTAGAGGATTGTATATGTAGCTGACCTACATACAAGGAAAGAGTGCAAAACTGATAGACATGTAACAGAAATAATAGCAAGAGCAACAACACTTAGACTTATATACTGCTCCATAATGCTTTACAGCATTCTCTGAATGGTTTACAATGTCAGCATATTGGGTCCACAATCTGGGTCCTCATTTTACTGATCCTTGGAAGGATGGAAGGCTGAGTCAACCTTGAGCTGGTTAGGATTGAACTCCTGGCTGTGGGCAGAGTTAACCTGCAATACTGCATTCTAACCCCTGCACTACCACAGAAAGGGAGGGAGGGATGGAAGAAAGGAAAGAGTGAGAGAAAGGAAAGGAGGGAGGGAGGAAGGAACAGCACTTAGACTTGTCTACTGCTTCACTGTGCTTTCCAGCCCTCTCTAAGTGGTTTACAAAGTCAACATATTGCCCTCGATGATCTGGGGCTTCATTTTACCGACCTCAGAAGGATGGAAGGCTGAGTCAACTTTGAGCCGGTTAGGGTCAAACTCTTGGCTGTAAGCAGAGTTAGTGTGCAATCTTGCATTCTAACCACTGTGCCACCACTTTGAAATGAAGAGTTAAATATAGCTCAGCCAAGGATTGTATTTTCTGACAAGTTTCAATGCTGTATAGCAGAGGCAGAACATTTTCCTAGGAGTCCAGATGTTAATCTTTTGAACCTGTAGAGGACTTCCTTATCCTGCAAGACCTTTGGCTAAGGTGCTAGCTCCAGCTGGCTTCAAGGATTTTCATTTTTCAGCGTTCTGTAAGATGAAGTCAGAAATAATCCAGTAATTCCTTTTTCTCCTCAGATTTTATTTCGCCTATAGTACTGGGTCCATCTTTACTTCTGGTCTCTAGCTGTGAACCTACCAAGTTAGATTGCCCTGATCCTATAGTTTCTCCAATCTATGTCCGTTTGTGATGAGCCCGACACCTTACAGACCTTCAAGACAAATTTACTCTTGCATGGGTTTTTATGGCTCACAAGTCCTCAGATGCATGAAGCAAAGCTTGCACACTAATAAATCAATTGGTCTTCAAGTTGCTGTAAGTCTATTTGTTGTCTTTCTTCAAAAGCTCTTATTTGTTTCACATGGACAATTATGGACCTTCTAAATCAGCTTCCATAAAGTCACATTGGGACCTATATTTCATATCCTACTGGTTTAGAGTCTTACTTTGGCTACCTTGCAATGGGGTCAGGTGTCACCACAAACCAATATTCATGTCTAAATATTTTTCCCATCCTCTTCTTAAGCCCATTCTACTAGCTTGGTCCTTTGTGGTTCTCTAGCATACAGTTAGAATATTAGCTCTCAAGTCAGAAGCCAAGAAAATGAACTCCCTATAGCCTTTCCAGACATAGGGTAATTCATTATTACCTTGATTTCCACTTAAAATGTACTTTAACTACACTTCCAGCTACAAACCTTAAATCAGCTCTCATGTTCACAGAAAAGTCCATCATTTTTTATTTTATTGCCAAGTGTTGGCATGACATAATCCTTTCCTGAGCGTCTCCAAGTGTTTTACAGATCAATAAATTACTTACTTTGTGTCAAAGGCAATGAATGCAAAGCCTCTGTGTCCATTCTGCATTTATTCAACTTTCTTGTTAAAAAGACTGGAAAGGTGACTGGCACATGGATGGGACATAGGGAAGGAATTGCAGAAAACAGATTCCAAGATATTAAAGTATGGAGGATCCTTCTTTTGGGGGGCTTATATATCAAATATATGGATTTTCTCTGAGAGGCCATGAGCTTCATTTGAATTACCTAACTTTGTACAAATAAAAGTGGGGAAAATATTGAGAAAAATACAATAATAATACCTTTTAGACTTATATATTGCTTTACAGTGATTACAGTCCTCTCTAAGCAGTTTACATATTGCCCCCAACAATCCGGGTCCTCATTTTATCCACCTTGAAAGGATGGAAGGCTGAGATTTGAACTGCCAAATTGCAGGCAGCTGGCAGTCAGCAGAAGTAGCAGGCAGTACTGCATGCTAACCACTGTGCCACCTCGGATCAACATGGAAGTTGGTTTCTGTACTTCAAATTTTTAATCATATCCAGGGGCAAAATTTCTGCCAAATAACTCCTGTTGTTGTTGTTAGTTGCGAAGTCATGTCCAACCCATCATGACTGCATGGACAACGTTTCTCCAGGACTTCTGTCCTGTTGGCTAGTAGTCATTTTGTTTAGCAAACGTAGTAGAGTTTGAAAATGATTTGTCATCACCCTGTTTTCTATTTCTTGGTTCTTTTGTTGTTGTGTTTTTATTAGCCTTTTTTTAATCAGTCAGTATTGTCTTTATGGTTCAGTTGATGCTTTGGCATGAGACTGTTGCTATTTCATATTGTGTTTCTTGATCCCCCAACACAAGATAGATAGATAGATAGATAGATAGATAGATAGATAGATAGATAGATAGAAAGATAGAGATATGAACTTGTAGGTATTTAATAATTAAAATACATAGACAAATATATGAGCATTTCTCAATCAATTGTTCCTATGTGAGATAAATAAATATCATGAAGTGTGCAAGAGATGGTTACATGAATTTAAATTTGCTGAGCTTTTAGACTAAGACGAAAGAGGTGTGTAAATGTCAAAACTTCATGGGAAAGAAAACTCAGGCTTTGAAAATGTTAAATGCATGATGGGACTGATCAAATAGTATGCCAAGGACATATTAATATATGATGGACAGGAGGGAGATATGGGATTTTTTTTTTAATCCTTGGCACATATTCTTATAAGGAGAGTTTTATCTACACTGCTAGGTATATTCTCCCAATCCATGTGATCTGAGAGAATATAATTGGTAAGCAATCCATTTTGAATGAGTTGATCCAATTGCCCAATAAAAGTTACCTAAAATTTATAAGCAGGGGGCTTGCTTGCCATCCAGACATCCTTCTGAATTAGTTCTGATTGGGAGTGGCTAGCATTGCAGAATGTTTCTGCCTCTTCTTAAGCTTCTACAAAAATATTTATTGATAAAGAGCTATGAAGAGAAATGTCATTACATCTTGGATGAAAGTTGGTGACACTTGCAAGGCTTGGCTGAATTGCTTTGAGGACCACATCAATTTCTGTTGCTTATCCTTCTACTGGAAACAAATGTTATTGTGGTTCAATAAAACCACAGTGAATGGTCTATTATATTGAGTTGAACATTGGTCTATTTAGTCCAACATGACGATCATTGACCAACTGTGGTTCTCCGTAGTTCCCATTAAGAAATTCACCTGTGAAAATTGAGGAAGCCAAGGTTTTGAATGTCACATTATATACGCAATCCTAGTGAATATCTGTACAGGTAGTGCTCAAGTTATGACTACAATTGAGCCCAAAATTTATGCTGCTAAGTCAAACATTTGTTAAGTGAGTTTGCCCCATTTTGCAACTTTTCTTGCCACAGTTGTTAAGTGAATCATTGCAGTTCTTAAGTTAATAACATGGTTGTTAAATGAATCTGGTTTGTTAGAAGGTCACAAAACGGGATCACCTAACCCCAAGACATTGCAACCATCATAAATATGAGTCAGTTGCCAAGTTTTTTATGTATTTATTTTTTATTTATTTTGATTAGTCAATCGCTTACAAGATAATAGGTATAAGTATATACGTAGTTATGAATACATGAAATGGGTACATATAAGAAAAATAAAAGAAACAATAGGACAGACATCTTAGGAAAGGGGTGAGGTTAATAGTAAACAGTCTAAGGTTAAAGTTTTTGGGGTTTGGGGAAGAAACCACAGAGTCAGGTACAGGATTAAAGACACTGACCACAGTTGCTTAAGTCGTATCTCCTGCAATCAAGTTTGGTGCAGTTAACCTTGAGTTTGTATTCTATTGTGTGCGCTTGTGTTGTTATGGTTGAAGCTGAAGTATTCATTGACAGGTAAATCATTGCAATGTATGATTTTATATACCGTACTTAGATCAGACCGAAGATGGTGTAATTCAAGGTTTTCTAGATCTAGAATTTCAAGTCTGGTGGCGTAAGGTATTCTACAATGAGTAGAGGAGTAGAGAACTCTTCTTGTGAAATATTTCTGGACTTTCTCAACTGTGTTAATATCAGATACGTAATGTGGGTTCCAGACTGATGAGCTGTATTCGAGTATTGGTCTAGCAAATGTTTTGTATGCTCTAGTTAGTAGTGTGATATTACCAGAGAAAAAGCTACGTAGGATTAGGTTAACAACTCTTAATGCCTTTTTGGCTATGTAGTTACAGTGGGCTCTAGCACTTAGATCATTAGAGATGTGTACTCCAAGGTCCTTGACAGAGCTTGGATCTTCAACAAGGTCTTGACTATTCAGCTTGTATTTTCTGATTTATTTATTTTTGCCAATATGTAAGACAAAGCATTTATTTGTTGAGATTTGAAGTTGCCATTTGTTTGACCATTTTGATACATAGTCAAGATCTTTTTGAAGGGTACCTTTATTGTCTGTGGTATTGATGTGGTATCTGAATTTTGATGATGAAGACCTGGGCACATGCTATAACAGTCGCAAGTGTGAAAAACAGTCATAAGTCACTTTTTTCCAGTGCCGTTGTAATTTTGAATGGTCACTAAATGAACTATTGTTAGTCAAGGACTAGTCTGGGTGCAAAATGAGGATGCAGGTTTGTTTTCCAAGCTTGTGGGTTGGTCCCATCACAAGCCGAAACATAAGACCCCCACTTGACGCAACCCACACCTGTCCCTCACCTGATGTGACCTCCTCATCACAAGATCTACTGACCACATGAAGCCTTTAGAAGCAGAAGAATACCAACACTGACATCCCCTAAATTCTGCTGAAGATGTTATCTTGCCTGGTAACAAAATGTTCAGAAACCAACTCACAGAAGTTGGCTTTCAGAAGAATTTTCAGAAATTATAGCTTATCTAATTATCGAATTCTTGGATTGACATTTTTACTTTCCTTGTCCTTGCAGTACCTCCCAAGATTGTTGAGATCTCTTCGGACATCTCCATCAATGAAGGTGGCAACATAAGTCTCACCTGCATAGCTACAGGAAGGCCAGATCCAACAATCAACTGGAGGCATATTTCACCTAAAGGTAAGATCAATTTTTAAATGATCCCTCCCCATCAAAATCCTGGTGTTGGAATGTTGCTGCCTTACAAAGTAGGATGCCTTGATGCCAGATGTCCATTCTTGACAACTATTTTATTTGCTTTATTTATTTTAGCATATTTCCTGGTCTGAGGAGTCATTGTGCCTATGGATATTAATTCCCTAGTGCAGAGGTAGGCAGCGGTTATGGGTTCTACTTTTTCTTCCCTTTACCCGCTTAAGATCCCAAAATACACCAAGCAAAATATATATATATATATATATGCAAAATAATAGCTGAGCTAAAAGATACAATAAGACAATTAACATCAGCAAATGGAACATCTGCGGCTGACTCGGTGTATTTGTTCCCTTCTGCTATACACAATTGATATGTAATGAGAGAACGAAGTACTTCAGTCCACCCAGAACTGAATAATGTGGAGGAACCTCTTCATAACAATATATTGTTATATTCCACAAGAGTGTCACTTTGCCCCAAAAAGAAAGAGGAAAAATAGCAACCAGGCAAGCAAGCTTTCCAATCATTTGATTTCACTGATCAATTGATTTTCAATTTGAAAACACAATTCCACTGAACATTTAAAAATGTAATGTGACTGAAACTCAGTTTACTCCACAACATGATTATTTCCCACTGATAAAGTTTGTTGTTGGGTGTATTTGTGTGTGTGTGTGTGTGTGTGTGTGTGTGTTACAAGACTCGTTTACCCAACCTTAGTCTAAAATAGGATAGATTAGGAAGGAGTCTACTGTTGTTATTGTGTTTCTGAGCTCAAAAAGAAGAAAGGGAAAAAGCCCAGCCAGGTATAAATTTCATAATGGCAGGTTTCAGTCAGATTATCACTACTTTTTGCCTAAGTTATAATTGTTCAGTGAACAGGATAAAATAGAGAAAGATTTGAGAAGAAGCAGAAAAAAGGCTGGCACTTTTTGACCCACATCTTCATTTTGTACATATTTTCTCATTCTGACAACCCATCTAACTTCACTGTGGTGGCACAGGATTCATTTGTCATCCATGGGATTTAGCTTTGGCTGTTGAGTTTCACTTTCAGGTGTTGCCACTAACATAATTTTCATTCTATTTCATTTTATTTGTTTGTCAAACATGTACAAGATAACAAGTATAAGTATGAACATAAACAGGATCAGAGAAAGTAAATACAGATAAATGGGAGCAGTAAGACAGTGATGGTAGGCACGCTGGTGCGCTTATGCACGCCCCGTTTAAGGACCTCTTAGAAATGGGTTGAGATCCATTTTTAATCAGTTTGAGGTTGAATGTCAACTCATAAAATATTTCTCTGGCCATTTAGAGTTGCCAACAGAAAGGGAAGGGGGAGTACTGTAGCAGCTGCAAAAACGAAATTGCATTCCATAAATGTTTTCAAAGATAGTAACTAGGTGACCGAAGTTTCTGCTGCGCAAAATTCTAACTGGAGAGTATGATTGATGACTCTGGGCTATGGATGTGTCCCATTGGAGACTATGAATCACGATATGCCCAGGAGGTGAGGGAAAACCAGGGTCAAGGGGGCTAATGAATGATGTGTCTCAGAGTCGGCTACACCCAGGCAGCACCAGCATGTCTTCTCCTAATAACTTTTCTTTGAGCTTTGAAAATCAGGCTAGAGACTCATGATTTAAATGGGGGTCAATACCGGAGTCCTTTGGTGGGTTGAGGCTGTAACAACGGAGTCATTCCAGCTGTTGACCACTCTGTTGCTGAAGTGGTATTTACTGCAATCAAGTTTGGAGCAGTTTTCCTTGAGTTTGTATCAGTTGCTTGCCCGTGTATTATTGTGATTAAAGCTGAAGAAGTCATTGATAGGCAAGATGTTATTTATTAGCAGACAATTTTGTGAACTATGCTTAGATCTGACCACAGGCAGCACAGTTCCAGATTGTCCAAGCTCAAAATTTAGAGTCTGGAGGCATAAGGAATTCTATTTGCATTCTTCAAAGATGTTGTCAGTGTTGCAGCAAAACCAGATCCCGATCAACAACTCCAAGACAGGCAATTTCTCGAAGTTTCTTTTTATTGGAAAAGTCATACTGGCACATCTGGGAAAACACGAATCTGAGAGTTCTGGGTTTTCCCTCAGGAAATCAAAACCCCAAATCCAATCTCTGCACCCATTAGTCCATCATGTCATCCAATCACCATCTGTCCCAACAAGAAACATCCCTTCCACGACGCCTCCTCCAGGTGCAGCAATAACATGACCTTGACCAAACAGGCAACAAATAGTAAAAATAGGGACCGCTATATCAAACCCTGCTCAAGTTAACAGCGGTGTCCCCCAAGGCAGCATTCTAGGACTCACACTCTTTATGCTCTATATAAATGAGCTTTGCGATCATCTTATAAGCAACTGTGTCCTCTTTGCGGATGACGTAAAACTATTCAACACCACTGACAATGCTACTATCCTTCAAAGTGACCTTGATTATGTGTCTGAATGGTCAAACATCTGGCAACTCCAAATCTCGACCAACAAATGCTCTGTCCTACACATTGGTAAAAAAAATCAGTACACCAAATACAAATCAGGCGGTTATGACCTCATTGATGATCCTCACTCTGTCATGGACCTTGGAGTTCTCATATCTAATGATCTAAGTGCTAGAGCTCACTGTAACAGCATTGCCAAAAAGGCATTAAGAGTTTTAAATCTAATCTTATGAAGCTTCTCTTCTGGAAATATTGAATTGCTAACTAGGACATACAAAACTTTTGCCAGACCAATACTCAAATACAGCTCATCAGTCTGGAATCCACACTGCATATCAGACATTAATACAATTGAGCAAGTCCAGAAGTACTACACTCCTCTGCTCGCAACAGAATACCCTATATCACCAGGCTTGAGATTTTGGGCTTGGACAACCTCGAACTATGCTGCCTACAGTTAAGCGTGGCACACAAAATTATCTGCTACAATGTCCTACCAATCAATGACTACTCCAGCTTCAACTGCAACAATACAAGAGCACACAACAGATACAAACTCAATGTTAACTGCTCCAAACTTGATTGCAGAAAGTACGACTTCAGCCACAGAGTAGTCAATGCCTGGAATGCACTACCTGACTCTGTTGTTACATCTTCTAACCCCCACTCCTTTAACCTTAAACTAACCACTATTGACCTCGTCCCATTCCTAAGAGGTCTGTAAGGAGCGTGCATAAGTGCACCATTGTGCCTCCCGTCCCTGTCCTATTGTCCCCATTTATTTGTACCTATTTCCTGTATTCTTACTCATATTTATACTTATATCTATTACCCTGTAAGCGATCGATAAATCAAATAAATAAATAAAATAATAAATAAAATAAAATAGAAGAATGCTGTTATGTCTAACTACTAACACTCTAAAAATCACCCCTTCTAATTTCCCAAGCACAGGAATGTGGCAGCGTGGAAGTTTCTGGTGTTAATATGGCTTCCAAAGCTGACAGATGTTTTATTCCCTGTTCTCCACCCATTTTTTTTTTCCTCCAAGTGCTTTCCTTCAGCTGAAATCAGAGGTCTCCATTATGTGTAGGTTTTAGCTGCTATGGAAACACTGAAGCAACCAAGAGGAGAGGAGCAAACTAATCAGAGTTTTACCCGCAGAGTTAGGTAATTTTCTTGAGTAGTTTCGGCCTGGATTCATGTGGAGATTAGGTGTTCTGAGAGGGCAACATAATCACCCTCAAATAATGGTAACCCGAGGGTCCTTTTTTCCATTCTGTCCAAAATATTTCAAACTAATTTAGCAGGCCTTCCAAAAGTTTTTACATAACACAAGATGAATCTTAGAAGATTCATCGAGAATTGTGTCTTCTGTTCTCACAAGTATTTCAGTTCTCCTGCATTTCTGCTATCCCATTTTCCAGTTCTTCTCTGAAAAACCGTGGCTTCAGTTTTGCTGCCATGCAATTCGAATGGTTCCATATTGTTTGCTTCGAGGGAGGCCTTTTACTATGGTCTTTAAAACAAAACATTGGATAAGTGACTCATTGTTGTAATAGACGGGTGATGACACCCAGCATTGTGACAATCTGGAAGATTTCTTACAGCTTCCTCACAGGACTTTTATTTTAAGTTTTTCCACTAATGAAATTTAACCACTAGAAGAATTGCACAGTTATCTCATAATTATCCCACACAGAAACACACACAAAAAATGGAGGGGCTGAAACATGTAGAAAACATCATTTTTTTAAAAAAAACCTTTTTTGACAATCTGAACGCTATAACTAAAGAATTTAACAAAAGAATATAACTAATTAATTCACCAAAATTAGGATTAACACCTGTATTTTAGATAGAGATAATGTGATGTGCAATCTGTAAGAGACTTGTTTACATCTTTTTGCTTTGGAGTACTAA